TTGCCATATTGGCTCAAAGAACGTGGATCTACGATCTTTGATTAGCAGCAACAGGCGGTGCGCGGAACGGAAGCTTCTTAGTTTGACATTTATTATGAGCCTCCGAGACCGTGTCGGAACGGTGCTGTCGGGGGAGGGGGAGTCAGTTGAATCGTCGGACGTTCTTTGATTAGCTGCAAAAGGCGGCGGCTAGCTGGGCACACGCGTCTCCTTCTGAGTCTCCGTGACTATGTAGCCACCAAAAAAGAAAAGGACAGACAGAAGTTATTTCGCTACGTCGGCTGTAAGTACAGTGAGTGGACCCATAAGTTAGATATCTATCACGCATTTGTTGTAAAGTCCGGTGTTTAGTAAGGTCAGCACCGAATGAGAGGTAGAATAGGTCTGTTAATTATGTAATATTTTTTCTTTTTTCTTTTATTATTGATTTCTTCTTATCTGCAATTGTGTTTGCTGTATCCAGAGTATATTTATTTTGATCTTACTTGTAACGTTTGCTGAATTTTGTAAAGGAAAAAGTAAAGTGTTCTTGAACTGATCTGCTGAGTATGACTGTATCTGGTTGTATACACAAGATGTATGATATGGTTATGGTTGGGGGGAGGGGTTATTAAGCCAATGTGGTTTCCCCCCCCTTCTCAAAAATGTTCGGTGCTCTTGGGCATTTCACTGTGCTCGCGGGGGCGGGGGGGGGTGTCAAGGTCCCCACCAAAACTTAGACCGAACCTACGCCCTTGGAGGAGGGTCATGTGACCTGATGGTCCATCACCAATGAAGGAGCCATCTTTATAGAAAGCAGCTGGGAGGTTGTGGGCTGGACTCTTTGCTCTGCAGCTCAGAGTGACGTCATCTCCCTCCATCACAGGGAGGACAGGACTCTGCAGGATCACTGATCCACCTCAACACAGAGACAAACTACAGCATTTCATCCATTTCCACACAGCAACACTAACTCCACAGTCTGATCTTACCAGAGACAGAGAGCTGGATGCTGCTGCTGCTGCTGCTGGAGGATCCAGACATGGACTCACACCAGTACAGGCCAGAGTCCCTTTGGAGGAGGTACTTCATGTTACAGGTAGAACCAACTGATTTCCCCCATCCATCTCCACATCGCTTCCTGGTTCCTCTGGTTGTGTTTCTCCTCACAGTTCCTCCATCAGAGCTGTTTTCATCCTCACAGATCAGAGTCACTGATTCATATTCAAAGAACTGAGATCTGCTGGGACTCACAGTCAGACGAACTGGGAGAACTGGAGAAAACAGAACTGTCTGTAAATTCTCTGATCTGCCTTCATTGATCATGTCTGATTCCTCCAGCCTATAATAAGTTTCTGGATGTCAGGAGTTAAATATTGATGAATGACACGATGACGTAACGTTTCAGTCTCTGATTAACTTCAGTTCCTGTAGCGAAGCAGCAGCTTCATTCAGCAGGTGGAGGATGAAACACTGACCTGAGTTTCCTGAGCAGCTCAGCAGGACGATGAACTCTGAGGAGAACAAAGTTCAGCTGAAGTTAACGACCGACTGCAGAACATTTCTGATCCTCATCATGAAGGTCTGACACATTTCCTGTTCCCTTCTTAAAGTCCTGCTGGGTTTGGGTCCAGTTTAACCTCTGACCTCACCACCAGAACCATCAGAACCATCAGAACCACCAGAACCAAAGCAGAAATTCAGACAGTTTCTCACCCAGCAGACGTCTGGCTGATGTTTCCTCCATGTCTCCTCAGAGCGTTGACCCGTTTGGGTCGGTGCTGGTGAGACCGGCTCAGTCCGCCCTCTTCCTCTGCTGCTGTTCACTTCCTGCTGCTGCTTCAACCAGCAGACAGAAACCCGGTTCACCAGCAGCACAAAGTCTGAGTCAGGGAAGCTGCATGATGGAAGGAACTGGTGCAAAATGAACTTTATGTAAAATTAGACACAAAATCAGTTTATTTAGTTTACATTAGAATATAAAACCTCTATGATGAACATGAGTGATGCATTAATAATGGTGGAGAAGGTTAATGAAATAAGCTGATGTAGTTTATCTTTGCAGCACATCAGCGCCATCTGGTGTTGAATTTATATATAATATTAATTACTACTAAACATTATGGATTAAAACACTAAACCGTATTTATGTTGAAACAAATAAACACCTTCTGTAACCTTTATGAACAGAAAGAGATTATTTTTATTCTCAGTCCACTAAAATGAAACTACAGACATAAATGTTACAAAACCTTTTCAAAAGTCAACTTAGAGAGTTTTTGATAAACAAAATTATATATTGCTAAATATGTTTTTTCTTTATTATTTTAATTTTATTAGGTTTTAAAATAAAGGGAAAAATGGCAAAAAGAAAGCGGACAGACTTTCTTCTGTTATTTGTGGAAAATAAATGTCAATAATTCTCAACTTCATAAACATGGATGTTAAAAAACATGAATGTTTATTTTTTTATTGCATTCAGTTGAGAGAATGTGATGCATTTACCAAAAATGCAGCTTGGGAAGCCAATCAGCAGCCACCCATAATGCTAGCTGCTGATTGGCTGAAACCCAGAGAGTGGAGCAAAGATGTAAAGTTTTAACTCTGCAGCTGACAGGATGTTCATGCTTCAGGAGGAACCAGCTGGTTCCTCTGGTTCTCCTCAGTCCATCCAGCAGAGCTACTGTTCTGGTTCTGGTTCTCCTGTAAACCGATCCCGTATGAACAGAGGGTTCTGATCCATGCTTTGCAGCCGGGTCAGGACTGTGGATCAGCTGCTGCTGCTCAGGAATCTCCAACCTGCAGGACGGACCGACCCGCTGACAGAGGATCAGAACCGACCAGGAAAACCATGTTGGATCGAACGAAGCATTTAGTCAGAGGTTCAGCTGTTTTCTTCAGATCTGATGAAACTCTTCAGATCTACTTGATCTCAATAAAGCCAGATAAAAATATTCTGGTTGAATGGAAACATTTTGAAGCTCAGATTGATTAATAAAATATTCATTAAATCATCAACTCCTCTAATTCTCACACATTTAAATTATTTTAGCCTGAACTTAAACATGAAATCCTATGATTTGGATTGAATAATTATTAGATTATTTAAATATATGTATATGATTGCAAATAAAACCAGAGTTTCTACATAATACAGACCTTTTAGTTTGATAATCCTGTTTGTTTTGATGTAAACAAAGGCATCTGATAGAGATTTTTTGGTATTATCATTTTGTTATTACTTTAGTTCATATTCAGTCTAATGTTATTATTGTGATTTTTAGTTTAAAGTGTTCTCTTCCTTATGTGTGTATAAACTGACCTGGAGGTTACGACTGACTGTTTTATCTTTATGTGAGACACTTAACTCTGAGTTTCCCAGACCTTAATTCTTATCAACCAGAATACCTCCTAACTGCCTGTGAGCAGTCGTATTTTGTCTCTTGTTTATCCTCCCTCTTTGTTGACAGTTTGACCTAGAGCTGAACTGGGCTCAGACCGTAGATCAGATATCACACCTGGAACTGAGTTGCTGGTTTGTTTAGGTTAAATGTTTTACGACCTCTGTTGTTTTTCCTGGCTGTTCTGCTTTGACAATAAAACAGGGGTTCACGCGGAAGCAGACCAGAATTCTCTGTGAACGGCTTGGAGAAGTGGTTGGCAGAGATTTCTCCTTTTGCAAAAGCTTGGCCATAAAATTCATACACGTTGTCTGTGGTTCTTTTATGTAGGTTTGAGAAAAATACCCATCAGCATCAAATGACATGAAGGCACTAATTAAATAAAACAGTCCGTTAAAAACTCCCTCTCTGGTTTGGCCAGTCTGAGTTTTTCTAGCTGAGACATTCTAGTTGGGAGGTTCTAGTTG